TTTGTCAGTGAAGGGCCTGTCCACTTGTCATCTGTTTTTTTTTTCATGGGAACTTCCTTTCTCTAAACACCACCCCTTGGCAGTGGACGTGCTGACGCCTCAGAGCAAGACACTGATAAAAAGGGCAGCCCGTCTTCCTTCTCCACACTCAGAAGCAAGTGGCAAAGGCTACTCAGGAGCTTGGAAGCTGCTGGCATCGGAGGCGCCTCAGGTCGAAGCACTGACAAGAACCATGAGCGATAACACTGGTGAGTTTTTATCACCCAATACGATAGCCTGTGCTAGATATGCGGTTTGGCAGGTCTCCTGTGGGGAGGATGGCAGCTCCAGCAGAAGTTTCTCACCCCTCTGACCGCTGTGGGTGCTTGGGGAAAGGTGTTCTGGTGCCACCGCTGCTCACAGGGGAGAGGTTTGCTCTGGCTACGCAAAGTCTGATTTTGACAGATTGGTAAACCAACTGAAAATGCAGCTCACTTTTCATTAGCCTGTAGACACCTGGTGCTATCGGTGATAATGCAGCTTTTCTAAACTTGTTCTGTGTCAAGATGAAAGGAATTTCTTTCTTTCAGGCTACTTAATAGGTAGATTATTGCTCTTTAGTGATGGCTGATACCATCTGACAGAACTTTCAAAATAACTGCAAAGGGGATTTATTTGGACTTGAGCTCCATTGAAAGGCCATCCTGCCTGCCCTGTTGTCAGAAGATCCTGCACCTACCTAGAGAGGTGCCTGACTTACTCCCGTAGTAGCTACTGAACCACCACCACCACTGGCTGTGCTCCTGGGGCCAGCCCAACCCCAGGATGGCCAAAACCCCTGGGGTTTGGGGTGTAGCTGAGCAGCTGTGCCTGTAGGCTGGCTGGTGCCTGTAGCGGACCCAGGAGTAGGTCTCCAGAGCCATCAGGAGGGGAAGGGTGTCCCGACACCACTGCGAGCCCCTCCATTTTACATCTCCGCAGTCTTGGGTGTGGATGAGCTGACATTTTCCAGGTAGTCTTGGACAGCAGTGTCTTTGCGATGTGAGAGAGTGTTTGCCTGGAGTTCGGGCAAGGATGGGAAGTAAACGCAGATGTCCAAATTTTGCTCTCTTGCAAAACTACAATTCTCATCCCACTTCCCTCCTGTCCTTCTAAGAAGCCCTTATTCCCACTGAAGCCGGCCACGCTATGGACGCTCTGCTCCATATTAACAATTTTTAAACCCCATCACCTCATCCTCATGGTAAAAAGGCCCCAGATCCTTATCAGTGCAAAGTCCTCATGTCCCCATTTTTGTTCTGGGTGGTCGCTGCGCTTTCCAAGCTCTAAACATCTCCCCAGACAGGTAGCAATGTGATGGGGCCAGCTGGTTAGTGTAGGAAGGATCTCTGTAAGTGATAAATCATGGAACTAGGAGATAAAAATAAAAACGTTGCCTTGAAATTTCTTCTGAAAAAAAAAAAAAAAAAGAAATGAAAGTCCTGGCAGCATTCAGGGTTTGGGTTTGCTTCTGGCCTGCCCCAGGAGTGAGCGCAGGCAGGGCTGCCTCTTGCAGCTTGAGCTTCCGTCCCATGAGCGGGCACATTCTTGGCATGCTCAACTCTGCAATAAATCATTAATTCCCACCTTGGCAAACTGGGAAGCCTGAGGGCAGCCGGGCACAGGGCGTGTGGACGCCTGGCCCCGTGCCCTGGGCAGGAGGCAGAGCAGGAAGCCGAAAGCGGCACACGGGGGTGCCCAGGGAGGGCAGGCAGCGGCCAAGCCTGCTCGGATGCGGTGATGGGTGCGACACCGGCTCGCTCGGTGGCACTTCTCGGCACAGGACGCGGTGCCAGCCAGATCACAGGGTATCACGGGTGAGTTTGCACAGGAGTTAAGTGCAGCGCGATTGCCGGGCAGCACTGCTGGGGACAGGTCTTTGACACCACGCCCCGCACTGACAGGGCACATTCCAAGGCAGCTGTTTTTGGTGTTTTTTCTCTGTGCATCCTCAACATCAGGGATGTCCAGAAACAGGGGGTGGAAATGCGATCCCTAAGTTAGGAAATGCTGGAAGGACGGAATCCCCAGGACCCTTTCCCACAGCCATCCTATGCCTTCACCTCCTACAGCCCTCCGTGGCCCTCACCCATCTCCAGGGCTGTTTTCCGGTAGCTTCTCAGCCCAGCACCAGGGTTTCCGTAAGGAAGAAGGTTGAGCAGCTTTGGTGGCTGGAGAATCGTTAATGCTGAGGAAGATGCACTTCCTGTTCATTTGTGTCAAGAGGGTTAAGCAATTTCAGCTGAATTTTTTTTACGTATACCCCCCTCCCCCCCATTGCACAAAACATCAGCCCAATGTTGGCATTTGGCAGGCAGCGAGCAACCAAAAGCACTCGAAATAGTTAACCAAAAGTGATGGTCAGTTTGATGGTCTGTTATTTACTGTTATGTAGTTGAGATAAATAGGGTTTATATAGATGCCAAGAAGAAATACACAGAGGTAGTAATCTGGTGGTGATCCGTAGGCTATCAGGTCAGTTTACTCAAGGCTGCAGTCACTGCCCAGTGCAGGTCACAGTGGGAAACGTGCCACTGATTTCAGCCTGCCCTGGATCTGGCCCTGCCTGTCACATCTCTCTTGCCACAGCAGCAACCAGCAGATTTCAGTCTCTTCGATGTTAGCCATGGCTCTTGTTGACACCCGAGTTAGCACGTTTGCCTGGTAGCGTGCTAATCTGTCGAGACATTTGGTGAATTAATCCCTTCAACCGTTATGTCTTTGACTTGCTAATTTCTAAGTCACCATAAGCTGTTTTGAATTTCCTGACTCTCCCATGTCTTCACTGGAATCACTCATGAGCCAAGAGCTTTTGAGGTATTGTTGCTCCCTACTCTTTACACAGGATTTACTCTTTAAGGATATTTAATGGGCAGGTACAAGACAGGTCAGCCACTGCCAAAGAAATACAGCTCAGTGACATTCTGGCATGCTCCGGCTTTCCCTGTCATACCCGGGCAGCCTGCCAAAGCCTGACCTGGTGACCCCCAGATCCCCAACTTCATTGAAAGCTGAGGGCTTTCTCTTTGCTCAAGTGTATCACCGGGCTGTGCCTCTCAAAGCTCCGCTCCTACGCTGCAGCCTCGAGCCATGAGCTGCTGGGCACGGAGCTGCTGAGGCTTTTCCCAGCCCCGCTCCTGTGCGGAGCTGCAGGAGTGGAGAGCAGCCCAGGAGACGGTGTCTTTAAATGCCGTGCTTTACACAATCAGCTGTGTGTTGGGACTGAATGGGAGCGAGGCAGCTGGCAGGGACTCCTGCTGGCGTTCAAAACTGTGCTGGAGTCAAATGGCAAAAGCACCAGTTGGCGTGAATGGCAGCAGTG